TTGTTGCTACAACTCCAACAACTGTACCGAGCTTGGCTATTATCGACCAACCACATCTTACTGCTGAGCAACAGAAATCCTTAGCTATCCTCCTTGATCAGAAATTCGAAGCCATGGGGACCCAGTTAGGTGTCACTACAGTGGGGAAACATGAGATACGCCTTGTCGAGGGTGCGACCCCCCTTAAACAACGCTATTACCCCGTTAACCCTATTAAACAAAAGATTATCAACACCTGCATCGATGAGATGTTGAGAGACCACGTCATAGAACCATCTAATAGTCCGTGGGCTTCTCCTGTATGTTTAATCCCGAAGAAAGATAATACCTATCGCTTCTGCGTGGATTATCGCAAGCTTAATTCTTTGACTGTGAAAGACTCATTTCCTCTTCCCTATATTTCTACCATTCTTGACCAACTTCGAGACGCTCGCTACCTTAGTTCGCTCGACATCAAGGCGGCCTACTGGCAAGTCGAGGTGACCGAATCTTCCCGACCTTATACGGCCTTCACTGTGCCTGGGCGAGGACTTTTTCAGTTTCGTCGTATGCCCTTCGGTCTCACCAACGCCCCAGCCACCTTCCAACGCATAATCGACACCGTGTTAGGACCCGAACTGCAACCTAATGTCCTCGTATATTTGGACGATGTCATCATCGTTTCCCAGGACTTCGATTCGCATCTGCGAATTTTGCAAACCGTCTTCGATAAACTACGTGCTGCAGGGTTCATTCTTAACAAGGACAAATGTCATTTTTGCCGTTCTGAGCTGAAATACCTAGGGTATGTGGTCGACGCTCATGGATTGCATCCGGACCCAGACAAAGTAAAAGCTATTCTCAATATTACCTCTCCTACTAATCTTCACGTTTCTTAGGTACCTGTAGTTGGTACAGAAGATTTATACCGGAATTTTCAACTATTGTATCACCTTTAACCCGACTTCTTAAGAAGGATGTTAAATTCGATTGGACTTCAGAATGTGAAGAAGCCTTTGTGCAATTAAAACAACTTTTAGCTACTGCACCCATACTTCACTGTCCTGACTTCACCAAATCTTTCATTTTACAGACCGACGCTTCAGCCTATGGTCTAGGCGCCGTTTTAACTCAGACTTTTCCCGATGGAGAACGAGTGATTTGTTATTTGTCTCGATCCTTGTCCCATGCGGAACGTAACTATAGCACCACTGAACGCGAGTGTTTAGCTGTCATTTGGGGAGTGGAGCAACTTCGCCACTACCTCGAGGGAGTTTCATTTACCGTGGTAACCGACCACCATTCTCTCCTATGGCTTCATTCTCTTAAAGATCCCCAGGGACGCTTAGCACGCTGGGCACTTCGTCTTCAACCGTACACGTTTACCCTTGTACATCGTAAAGGTAAGGACAATGTGGTACCTGATCTCTTATCACGCACCGTACCCATCGTCGATGCTATTACCCCTTCGGACGAAACTGTCAATCCCGAAGAATTTCGTAACTCCACCGACCCTTGGTACCGTGGTATGTTTGATCGACTGGAACTACATCCGCAGAAATACCCTGGATGGAATACGAGGAATGGTCTACTGTACAAGTACGTTCAAACCGCTTCGGACACCCGAGACTATGAAAAATGGAAACTCGTTGTTCCCAATAATTTTCGCCGTGCCATTATACGAGAATGCCACAACAATGTCACATCTGGACACTTCGGAGTGTATAAAACTTTCTGGCGTATTCACCAACGTTACTATTGGCCCAGAATGCTTCTTGACACCAAACGTTTTATTAGACGCTGTTCCACTTGTGCGGAACAGAAGCCTGAACAACTACGACCTGCTGGTCTTATGGGATCTCACCCTAGGATTTACGAGCCTTGGCAAATGATCAGTTTAGACTTCATTGGTCCCTTACCACGTTCTACTCAGGGACGCACTCACCTTTTGGTTGTCTCTGATTATTTGAGTAAGTTTGTACTTCTTTTCCCCGTAAGGACTGCGAATGCCCAAACTTTGGTCAAGTGCATTGAAGAGTCCGTGTTTCTTGTGTATGGAGTACCTCAACATATTATTTGCGACAACGGTGTGCAAATGCGCAGCCGTCTTTTTATGAACCTTTGTGACCGTTATCATGTTAAAGTCCGTTTTACACCCTTTTATCACCCTCAAGCCGATCCTGCGGAACGTGTGAACCGGGTGGTAAAGCAACTCATTTCCACTTATATTAAGGACAATCATCGACATTGGGATGTCAATTTAGCTTCGATTGCCTGTGCCA